TAATTCAAGCGATAATGAGAATAGAGGTTTTGAATTTCTTATTACTTATAATATTTTCAAGTATTGGTTTGTAGGTATTTTGTCTGGCTGGTTAAAGGATTCCGTCATGAGCTGACATCGACTAGAGAACCATTAGAAAACCAGGGAGTACTGGACATATGTCTCGTCCCAGTATGGAACTCCTCATCAGCACGCACTCACCAGTGAGGACAGATACTCATCGAAGAAGACATTGCCAAGTGGTCGCACTATGTCATGGACTGGCAGAAGTTATAATTCAGTGGCCGTTGTATCGGGTTTCAGTGGCTTAATGGCCTGCTAGCTCTCCTTGTTACCAGGAGGTGCTGGGTTCAAACTCCAGGTGGGTGACTGCGTGCTGATTAAGAGTCCGGGACTGGGGCGAAACGGCTGTCCATTAGCTCTTGGTTTTCTAATGGTTCTCTAAGTGATGTCAGTTCGTGATGAAATTTTCCAATTTATAGCACTTATATACATTTCTGAATAAAATCTAGTGAGTGGCTGCTGACTAGTAATGTTTTGCTTATTTTCTAATAAGAATAAGTTGAAGGTGGCAATAAAAACAGCAAGGAGCTAGGATACTGAAAGCAAGTTATGAAGTTATGAGAATACAGTGGTATGACTGTGAGCAACAAATTGTATTTGATCAGTGGAACATTTGTGAATAGTGATGTGACATCTAATGAGATCATGGTCCTGTTGGATACGTTGATGTTTTCAATTGAGTCGATAAAGTCGAATGAATCTCGAACTGTGTGGCAGGAAACTTGTCTTCTGATTGGTTCTAGTAGATCTGCTAGCCATTGGGCTGTGCGGTGATAAGGCGAATTGGTCATGTCAAGGATCGGTCGTATCCAACAGGACCATGATTTCATTAGATGTCACATCACTATTCACAAATGTTCCACTGACTGAAACAATATGCTATGTATGCGAACTTATTGATTCCAAAGGAATAGACATCGGTATACCCACCGAGCGTCTTAAAGAACTCCTTCTGAGGTGTACCCTGAAATTGTATTTGAATCGTTGTTATACATTTATTATTACTCTGTAACAGTGTGCTATCTCAAATTTTACCGAATTTGACTCTTACATAAAACATGCAGTATGTTCACAGATTGGTACTTTTTATGATGATGCCTAAAATACTTTTCTACCTAATCTAAATTTACTTTAGATTACTCATCAAGGTAGACGGTGTCCTGGAATGCACATCATAAGTCCTAGCCACCTCCACCAATGGAGGTGTAAAGTTGTGATATTTTATCAGAATTAAATGTTAAGTTATCTGACAATGGGCTTCATTTTCTGTGTTAGCTATCAAGTGAAAGTTATTCCTGATTGATTTCAATTCATTCTTATACGTAAGCATCAAGAAGATGTATCTGTAGTCACAGAGCAAGCCATGTTCCCTTAGATATTACCACCTAGGTTATCAAATAATGGAGTTGGATGTGATGTTGGAGGGTTGTTCTTTTATTGTTTAAATCTGCCCCTTGAGGTTTTTGCTATTTAGATATTGTGAACAAATTACCTCATGGAAGAATAGAAAAAGTTGCCCAATTACTTGATGTGCAAATGATGTACACTATCCGAAGATGGAGAATATGAGGTTTGTCCCGAAAAAAGGTATACCAGTTTTGTTGGAAGTAAAATTGTTAATAAGAATAATTATAATGGTGATAAAGTTATGGAAATTATTCACAAAGTTTTATAGTGTGTCTAAGAGTTCATCACTTCATTTAAAATCACAATTAAGAGGACGTATCCACTAGTAGATAAATGACAATGAAGAAGAGAATACCGCTTATGCAAAATGTAAAATATACACATACTCAGCTAGTAGAAGTGAAGATTGCCCAACCGAAGAAGACGAAAATTATAAGTGGGAAGGCACATGAAGTAAAGGAAAGTTAATAAATAAGTAAATATAGTTAATCATCGAAACTTAGATTTCATGGCAGCCATCAGCAAGGCGTACAATCTTGAGAGAATTTATATTTCCTCAGAGATTCGAATCCGAGTTTTCTATTACCGAATAAAATTCAGTACAGTGGACAGCAATGTCGTGTTACTTAGGGTATTAAACACACAAGTTCCCGGTTAATATGCATTTATGACTCTAGAAGGATAGTTATCCTACAACGTAACTTACTGTATAGATATTTATTGACCTTTCTTCTCATTCTTTAATAATTACGTTGCGTTTTGTATTTCAGAAGTTGTGGTAATCTAACTGCAGACTATATCGTTCGTTTTCCAAGCTATAATGACTTTACTGGGTATCACTGGCAGTTTTAGAAATCAAACATCACATACATCCTAAACTGTGTGTAAAAAACTATAGACTTCAACCTTCGCTTACCATGGACTACTTGACCTATTTAAATATGATTGGTCATTAGTATGTACTTTTGTTTCATTTATATAACTGAGTAATTATCATGCATTTTATTTTATTATTGCGAACCATTTTAGTTGAAAAGCGATTGTAAAGAAACTAAGAAATGACGGGATATCACCTCACGAAATTTGTCTTTTAAATGCCTTATTCAAATTTTAGAAATGATTATTCTTACGTATAATAAAGTGTTATAATAGACTGTGCAATTTGTAAGTATTTCTTCTTACTTCGTTTATTGAGATTATAATGAATTTTTCACTGATTTGTATGATTGGGCTGCAGTTTCCAATCGCTGTCGAGTTGTTGGCGCCTCGACGAAAGCCTGAGGTTTACACTACTATATTTGATTGATGTTGGCTAGTAGTGGAATCTAGGATTCGTGTTTCTTGCTATTCAGGATTCGTCAAGTGGATGTTCCTGCATCTCCAATAAGTGAATGTGCTCCTACTGAGAGTAAAACTTATCAGCCTAGTGAATACTAATATATTCGACTGACAATTCTCAAATAGAGGAAATCACGAGTCCTGGATTACCTTGACAACCACCATAGACCATAAAACTTTCGTCTTACGATTTGTTCAATCGGTATTTGAAATCCTGTTTCCCCGAACTCAAGAGTAGGTTGCAGAAGGAGTCGTGACATATAAACGTTATACCGCACGTTATCAGATAGCCTCATGTTCGTTGTTAAGAAAGACGTTTACGGAAAAATTGGGAATTCAGTTCATAAAGCCATGACATTCAGGAGAAAATATCTGAATGAACTAAGTTATAAGTATACTACGATATTACTTACTAATAATAAGTAACACGAAGTTTAACATAAAAAACTATAAGTATGGAAACTAATATCTGTTGTTAGATTGCAAATTTGTGTCAGTTGGAGAAATCATTTGAAACCAGAAAGGACTGGACAGCCGTTTTAATGAAACTATCTTAAATGGCCTCAAGTTGTACTGTGATTCGAAACAAGTCTGTTTATTTCTAACTGACATTAATTGAGTATTGACAAGAATAAAAGATTAGGAGATTTTTGTTACTATGACATGTTTCAACCTCATTGTTATTTAGCTTTACAACATGTAGTTTTTTAAATTCTTAGGATATCTAACTTCTAGAGTAATCGTATCTGTTCTACTTATTATCTTGTGACGTTCACGCCATAACTACCACCTATATATTGTCCTCTTTTGCTGTTTTAGTCAATGCATTTCTGTGAGATGGGTTATTTTGGATAATTACCTGTCTGCCCGTGGTGTAGTGAGTACTTTGTCTCCTAAGACTACACACATATTAGTCTCATTATCGCTCTAATTTTGGCTTGCTTCCACTTAGTACTGAATACTCCATTTATAGTAATTCATTAAGCTTCTTCCAATGTACATAAGAGTAGAATCTGAACAGAAACAATTCAAAAACATTTTCTTCTAAAGCGGTGTCAGACCATCAGCAGAGAAGAAATTCTTTTTAAGCATGTCATATATATTTTATTCAGTTTCCAGGATTTCATCATGAGCTGACGTTAGTTAGAGGATTATTGTAGAACCCTGGAGAACTGGACAGCTGTTTCATTCAAGTTATGAACTCTTTATCAGTACCCAGAGATAAATATTTCAAAGTCGTCAGGAAGAACATGTTTCTAGAACATAAGTCACAGAAAATCCTAATAGAAGTCCAGCATAATTGATTTAGAAACATTTATTAGTTTCTGGTCACAAAGTCATTATTAAGGGATGTTTCTCAGTTATTTCACATAACTTGAACTCTGGGTTAAGGGTATTTATTGATGAAGACAGTCGCAAACTAGGACAAGACAGATGCCTGGTACTCCCTAGTTTTCAGTGTTTCTCTAGCTGATGTTGGTTCGTGATCTAGCTGGAAATCAGTCAGATCCCTGCGAATTTTTTAAACAAACTAATCGTAATGTGATTATAGAGAAAGTACAAAACGACATCATCCCGCAAGTTTTATTTTCAGAATACCTTGTTGAAATTGATCAAAAGATTTGACTGTTGCAAACTGCTGATTTCTGTGTAAAAGTCTGAGACTTGGATGTCTTGGTGTATTTCATTTGTATTATAGCATGCTAGAATTCCTGATTAATTTATTCTTACTAAAACTCTAGTCAGCAGTAGAAACAGATTTTGTTGTTGAAGCAAGTATTTCTAAAGCTTAGAAACCTAGACAAGATCCTGATCACAAAGTTTGACGAACAAATTATCAGAAAACTCAGAGCCTTAATAAAGTACACGCCTCATCCTCAGTAACTTATGTTTATAGCTGATGTGAAAGATAATATTGAAAGAGTAGAACGAAATTAGATTAGAACTGAAGTTAATGAAGGCTAAGCTAGTTGATAAATTTACTCCCCAGTGGTCGCTTTCAAACTGTATTAATTTGCTTTCAACATAGTTGAGTCTCACTAGACACAAATCAAGAGGATCACACTTCAATCAGTCATTCCGCCAGTTTATTTTTGGATTACTTCTATTTCTGAAAAGGTGTAGACCAATGGAGAGAGAATCGCTTCCATTCGTAATTGCTACAATTTAACAGCATTAAACTTTGTTCTTACCACTTTTAATAGGTGATTCATTTGGCAGTGTATTCAAAGTCCCTGTTTCGTTCACTGTTCGAATGGTTATTGACTAAATAAAACAAAAGAAAAGCTGAATTACTCTCTTATTTATTTAGTGTAGTTAGTATGAAATTACATCTAATTATTCACTGAACTGTCCGTTAGTAATTATTTGTTTCTTTGGTAGCCAACAACGGAGCGCAGAAGATGCGTCTCCGCCATAGCCGGATCTACCTCCATCTCCTGTTTTTTCTTTCTGAGACTAGAAAGAAGTACTAGTTATATGAAACACCTAGAAATTGACATCTAAGCAACTTTGCATATCGTGGTATACATTCAAGGAGCAGACGTATGCAGGATAGATTGATAATTTACTTTCCCAAATTTTAACAATATGAAATTAAGAGTGTAGATAAGCAGTTATTTTGTGCAAAAAATGTTAGGATCCAGTCTACTGGATGGTGTAAACTCAACCTTTTAATATATTGACACTTTCCAGTGTACGACAAGCCTCAAGGAGTTTAAGCTATTTGGAACACTTTATTCAATATTATTCTTACTCTGTGATGTGGGATATTACTTCGAAGGTGGGACTACTGAAAAATCTCCTCCCAAAAATATTTGGGTTTACTGGATTGGTTAGTCATGAACATACTAAAATGATCTGTATTGAAGTATTGGTTTGTAGGGATTTGATTGATTGTTTACAGGATTTCATCATGAGCTGACATCGCTTAGAGAACCATTGGGCAGCCTGGGATTATTGAGCAGTTGTTTCGCTTTAGTTTGCGACTCTTCGTCAGTACGCACCCGGGGTTCGGTTCGCGTTATGCGTCAATAGGCAGAAGTTAGAATTCATAGGCTGGCCATTAGATCGGGTCCCAGTGTCTTAATTGTCTACGAGCTGTCTAGCCTTGTAACCAGAAGGTCCTGGGTTCGAACTGCAGTCGGGTGGGTGAGTACTCTGAAGAGTCCCAAACTAGGACAAAACAGCTGTCCAGTTCTCCCAGGTTTTACAATAATCCTCTAACCAACTTCAGCCCATGATAAAATCCTGTAAGATAATCTGTCTTTTTTATTAATTTGAAGTAAGGCTCATAGAATTTAGTATAACTGCTCATTAGGATTCGTGAGAATAAAAACCTTTTGGTAAAAGATACTGAAAAACGAATTAACAAAATCATCAAGCTTGAAGTGAAATCCAAAAGTTTTAGACAAAAAATTAATTTTTAAGTAATGGATATAGGGGAATTTAACCAACACTAGTTAAAAAAAAACTATTGAAACTGCAAGGAGCAGTGAACAGTTGTTTTATTCTGATTTGTAATCATCGGTAGTATGCATGCGTGAACCATCGAAGCGTATTTTTTAGTCGGTTCACTTTATTACTACCGAAATGAATGTAAATATTTGTAGTCTTTTCTCAATTTCAGTACAGTAGTCACCACTAACGTGATGCACTTTAATGACACTTTACCAACATTGAGAGAGGACTGGGAGGAATGGATGTTTTGAATCTATTCAGAATATCAGTCATTAAGGTCAATAAGTACATCTGTGTTTTATTAAGAAGGATATTATAAATTCTGCGGTCATTGAGTGGTTGCATGGCTACTATGGAATTTAGACAAAGCAATAAGAAGACGTAATTTGTCTGAATCGTGTTATGTATTTGCGTAACACATGGACTTGTCATAGGAATATATATATTCAATTAATAAAGAGTTAAGAGGTGAGAAAATAAATTTAGGTCACGTTGAAAGGATATATTGAAGGTCAAAATAACAATGAACATCACTAAACCAAATCACAGAGGTATTAGTACATCTGCTTTGAAATCAAAACAAAGTTTACCAAAGAAGGCTTAGTGTGATGACAAATTGTCGCTTTGAATGCATAAAGGTGGTTTAAACTACCTAATTGCCATCTAGGGCTTCCACAAACGTTAGGATGAGCCAAAAACACGTTTTATAGATAGGTTTAAAAGGCGTTGGAACATCGATTTTATGTCCTGTCTGTATAATATGTTTCTGAGTAGAGGAGCTAGGTCGTCTGTTCTCACTATAAATGGATTCTGGGGATTCTGTTTTCTTCTGAAGCCAATTAGGAATGTGCTCTGAATCCAGCTCTTACTTTCAGAGAACGATGAGTCCTCCCTATGTATGTGTATCCACACGTACATTCAGATGGGTAAATACAGTGGGATGTGACGTCATTTTTCGCATGTTCTGTTGGCTTAGATGGATATATGGACTGCATATTTTCAATTATTATGATATTATCTGCATGAAAAGTCTTTTTAACGACAGCGTTCAATCTTTGTCTAGTTATCAAGCTGCTATGATCACCCATATAGGGTAGCTTGATGTGCACGTGTTTTTTAGGGGTGAGTTGGAGAGTGGGTCTTAGTGTTCTGATTACATTTTATCTCCGATGAACTTGTCTGGATAACTGTTATCAACCATAGTTTGTGTCAACTTTCTTTCTTCTTCATCAAGTGTGTGTGTGTATTCATTGGATTTTACTGAAAAGGCATCTTACTATGCAATTGTAACATAGCAGTACTGACTGAGTGAATTTCAGCATAGCGCAGTTCAAGATGCCATACTTCGTTTAGCACGCAAAAGAAGACCAAAGAAAGAAAAAAGAGACTCAAAAGTACTTTAATAAGCAAATGTGTGACAGAGAGAGAATGAATGCATGAAAGAACACTAAGGTTTCAGGGATATGGGCGATTAAAAGAGTGAGTGCTTCTGGGCCATCGAGAACGATTTCAAACCATGTCTAAAATAGTATCCAGTTATTGGTTGTAAGCTTACCGAGGACTCAAATCAGGATGCTTACTTCCGTCCACATGGCTCAAACTAAGTGTCAAAGATTTCATGGACTGATGCAAAGTTTTGATTTGACCACATCTAACCATTTTTCAACCCGATCCAATATCAGCTAACGCAGTCAGTCGAGAAAGACTATAGATTGGCATGAGCAGCACTTATCCTATTCATCCCAGTCGATTCACCTTCATAACATCATCGATCGACTTACCCCCCCCTAACTTAACACTACACCTAACCTCACTATTACTGAGTATATTGTGCTACTTAACACGGGAGATAGAATACAGACACTTATGATCGAAGACAGCTACCTAGGCTTTTCATGTCCTTTACTCTCAGTGCCTAGGACGAATGGAGGACGAATCGGACTGCTGAGCACTACACACACTCTTTGGTCGATAGCCGGATATCAAGTCTACACCAGAGATGGCGTAAAGTGGCATATGCAAACAGAGCCTTCTGTATCCGCCATGCTGAGATTTCGTCAGTGATCAACCGACTGGCACTGGTCGATGTAACTTTCTAAATAAGTGGAGTGGTCAGCATGCCCTACCACTTCACTCCTTATGTCAAAGCTAGGAGTCAATGTAATCCAGTTCAGTTCTGTAGCATCACCTTGCATTTTGCGGGAGCGAATTGCATTCCAAACATACGCAGATTGCAGCTCAAGGTGTTCAGAAGACTCTGCATTTTGTCAGCGTCTTCACCTGACATGGAGGACTATAACATCTGGATATTTGAAGTCAGAGAGATTATGCCCTTGTAGCAAGTCAGTCCCTGAGGTCAGCAGTTGGGCTTAATTTCATTAGTACATCTATGACGAAATTGAATAGAAATGAGGACAGTGGGCATCCTTGATGGACACCACTAATTGTCACCACTTCAGATGACAACTTTTCGGAGGCTCTCACCTGGCTGCATGAGTTCGAGTAGAGAGCCTTGATCAGTGCAATGTATTCTCTCGGCATTCCTTTCACAGCCAAACATCGCTACAGTACCTCTCAGTCTGTGGAATCAAATGCCGTCTTTAGGTCAAGAAATATGACGATTGTTGGACGTCGGTAAGTATCCCTATGTTCTAGAATCTGTCAAAGCGTGAAGATATGATCAATACACCCTCTCCCTAGTCTACAGTCTTCCTGGTTCTCTCGTGTTTAATCCTTTCGTGGATCGCTTATTCTACACATGATTATTGAGCCTAGAACTTTAGATACCGCCAAATTAGTCACTGTGATCTCCATGTGATTATTACAGGAAGACTTGTCTCCCTTCTTGTATATCGGACTTGCACCAACCCGATGTGACTTCCTCTGATTCCCAGACGCTTCCTGGTACTGCAGATAACTCAGACAGTAAATTGTCTCCACCATCCTTAAACATCTCTTGAGTCATTCCATCAGGTCCTGCTGCTTTGCCTCGTTTCAGACTAGTGACAGTCTTAGTAACCTCAGTTGGGGACGGAAGACCTGTACCTATATCCCATTCAGGGAGGTGTTAGATGTTCGGCAGGTTGAGTGTGGCTGTAGGCCAATTAAACTGTTCCTCATAGTGTTCTTTCCAGCGTTCAAGTCGTCTATCTTGGGATCTAATTATGGTACAATTTTTCTCATAGATTGTTTCACTTATCATTTGCCTTTCACCACCTGTTTCTCTGATAAGTCTAAATAGTTATCTGGTGTTACCAATCGCCAAGGCCTTTTCAATCTCCTTTGCTTTTGTCGCCCACCACTATTCACCGTCATTACTAGGGTTTCTTGTTAGTTTGCATTTGAGTAGCATTCGCTTCTCATCATATTCAGAGCTCGCAGGAATCAGTCTTCTTGAGTTAATCAGTTTGGATGAGGTGGTAGAAATCCAGTGGCTCCTACTACCTTCTGGCATTAGGCTATCAACAGCTTTTAAAGCTGTGTCTACAGCCAACGGTTTGTTGTACCAGCCAGGCTTCCCCAGGAGGAGTCTTGCTGTCGATCTCAGATACACGTTTCGCTATTTCTTCATTAGATAGGGACTCAGTGTCTCGATCTAGTTGGGGACGTAACTGCTTCGCTGGCAACAAGGTTTTATGTCTATGTAATCGTAAGCATGAACGTGCGCGGATCAGAGTGTGATCGGAGTCTATGCGCGTGTTCCAGAAGGAGCGGCAGTCTTCTATTGACCCTTGTCAATGATACCCTATCGCTTTGCGGTCTATCTGAGTCCAGCGTTGATTTGGTGATAGAGGTCACCAGGTTATGCAGTGTCTTTCTTTGTGTCTAAAGTTATTACTGACTAGGAAGAGATGATTATCTGAACAGAACTGTAGGAGACGATCACAGTTGTCGGTTCGTTTGGTGGGAGCTCCATACTTACCACCTACATACTTCTCAGTTTGGCACAACTTCCCTACATGGGCATTAAAATCGCCTGCTAAAACAGCTGTATCTGAACGTTTTGCTTTTTACAGCAAACTAGTCAGTTTCAGGTAGAAGCCATCCTTCAGTTCATCCGAACTGCAGTCTGTTGGGCCATAAGCCGAGACTACGAAAAGATGACGATGGGTAACGCAGTTCTTCCTGCTTTAATGAACCCGTTCAGACGGACCTCATACATACGACTATCTGAGAACCAGTCAAGAAGTGATTTTTCTACCCTAACACGCAATGCTATCCCTACACCTGCGAGTCCTCGCGAACTATCTGAGGGGTCTCCTGACACCCTTGAAGTGAATTTTGCAGAGTCACCTTGTTGGCAAAATGAGGTTAAGTGAATGACCACTTTCTGGTTTTGTATGCGTGTCTCCGAAACACAACATACATCCATGGCTCGAGATGCCAGGGTTCCGGTGAGTGATGTCTGTTGTCCGATTAGTAAGAGGATCCTGACGTCGAAGGCTCCTATATGAAGTTGGCGGCGTGGCTTTAAGAGGTTATCGGGGGTGTTTCTACGGCTCTCATCGTTGTTTTTGGTCACAGAGTGAAGTGAAGATGACTCACTTGCCTGCAGAATAGTACTGACTGTAGTAGGGAGGCAGGATAAGGAATGTAATGTGGGTAAAGGAGAATGTCGCTCAGGAAGGCATCACTGTATGTTGCTACGCTGCAAACATGTACACACAAAACAAGAGGACAGGATAGTAAAAATAATATTCAACCAATTCATTTCCCACTATTAAATACGAAAAAGGCTAAACACATGTTAGATGTCTCTAAATCTCTCAGGCAATTAACAAAACGTTTCATTTCATTAGTGCCGTTTCGTGGCAGAATTAAATCAGATATATACTCACTAACTGGTGTAGGACTGTGTGACTATTATGGGTTCTGTATAACATTTACAGTAGTGCATTTGTTAAAGTGGTTAAGGTACATTAAATAAAGACAGCCTTATTTGTAACATCACCTGTATGTTTGCTATTTTCAAGCCTGGTAGTTAGAATGATTCACTGATTCAGAGAGTGGTTACTCTTTCTAAGGGGGTATATTTAGATATTTTTCAAAAATCACTGAAATAAATGACCCCTGACATACCCGGTCTTCTTTTGATATATCGCCCATATGATGTGCAGAACGATTAGATGAACAATATTTCCTTGTTTTTTGTTTCCATCTTTCAAGAGCCTTAATAAAAAAAAAATATAAATTAAATTAAATTGTAAGGAGAAATAATCTTAAAGTTATATGTCAGTGATGGAATGAATTTTCTCACGGAAATTTAAATTAAATTGAAATTTTCATTAGAAAACAGGTAATCACTTCACCCATGTATCTGTCATCCTACAGTAGACATCCATCGAATAAAGCAGTAGTTTATTTTTATCCTACTATATGGCTGTGGAAAGAAGGCATAAGTGGTTGACAGTTCTGTAAAGGCTTTGAGAGTCAGTCGCTGTAATGACCATAGCACTTCCCCTGTGTAGTCGGACCAAGACAAGGGTTGACAATCAGTTTTGGAAGTTGTAGGCTACACTCAAGTAAGTGCATTATGACATCTTTGATGTAAGCTTACCGAACACCTGTATCAGAGTGTAAGAACGTAGGAGATTAGTTGACTAGGAATTTTTCCAATTCATAGAATCCATGACAGTTTATCTGAGGTATTTGGAAAGTATTATCTGTACACTATGATTTTCGGCAGTCGTGAAAATAGTGACTGAATATCCTAATGACTAAATGATTGGTTGACACTAGCCTGTGACCAAACTTAAAACGAATCAAATCCCTGCAAACTAACATTTGAAAATTAATCTAATATTCACTGATTACCGACTACAGGACGAGGCTATCTGAAGTTCGTGGACAGTGTAGTCTGCCAGATCGACTGTGAGAACAAATACTCGCTGAAGACATATGCTGACGGTGGTTCTATAATTCGGGAATTGACAGAAGTTAGAATCCATGGGCCATTAGATCCAATTCAAGTGGCTGAACGACCGCCTAGCTCGCCTCGTCAAACGAAGCTCCTGGGTTCGATCCTTGGCAGTGACGCTACATTGTCTTCTGGAGTCTTGCGACTTATGGTCTCTGTAATGTTTTATTTCCTTACATAAGCTTCTACTTAGTATGAATATGCAATGTTTGGCAAGTGAAACAACTTCAGTGTTCTTGTGGGCCTTTCATTAATAATCCCTGTTCATTTTCTGATCTAATCCAGGTTTATTCAAATATCCTCAAAATGAATTGATTTGTAAGGCAGCATGATACCAAGTGTCTTATGAAGTGATGACATCCCAGCTCGGTACTCTGTAGCATAGGTCAGCCGACTACAATCTTTGAAGACATAGGAATCTGTAATTTGAATTGTTTTATTTTTTCGTTAGTGTATCAGCCTCTTGTATTTTTCTCCAAGTCAACTATTATAAGGGATAGATAGTCCAAGATGAACTACTATAGGAATAATAAAGACCATTTCCCTCCACATATATCTCCAACCTTCTTCAACCCCCATCGAGAAACGATTCTTTGTATATAGAAGTTTTACTTCTTTAAATTTCTAATTTCACACTTGAGTTGATACTGACCACTCACACTGGAATTACGAAACAGGCTATTGTTTGTTTTTGCTTTGTGACTGAGCTAATAGCGTTCAAAGTCTCGCTATTTCTTTCAGGATACCTACTTTTGCGTGTCTACTGTTTGAGAGTGTTATCTGCTCCCATATCTTGTATTTTATAAGTAATTTTTGGGGAAATATTTGTAGACGACAGCTCACTGGGTCAATATCTTCTTGAACGATTTAAAGTATCTACAGCCATATGACTTTCGATTTCCTGCTCACCTGAAGGTCATATGTCAAAATGAAGGAGCATGGAGAATTAAAATATATGTGAAGCAGCAACGGCTGTTGATTTCAAAGCTTAGTGATCAATATTCCAGGATCTTTTTCTAGTTTTTCTAACACTGTTTATACGAAGCCATGCTAGCGTGTGTATACTTCCTTTAGATGTAACTACATCAGTGTTACAGAACATAGTTAATGCGTAACATAATTTCCACTGGGACTGCTACAGGTATTAAAAATTACAGCAAAATTTATAATCCATATTACCAATCGATAAACCTACTTTTTTTCTTTTCTCCTCTGCTTTATCTAATTTCTCCATCAACATTTCTGTAGTGATTTTCGGTGTACGATCTAACGGTTCCAATCGCTACAAAAAATTCCATTTTAATTTTAAAAAATGAGTGCATTAATTCTCACTTTCAAATGTTTGGGTAATGGACATGTGTGTAAACTATCTAGCATTACATCGTCTGATTCATTCAAATTGATATCAAATGAAATAAAACCTTTTTTATTTTCTGCATTACACGGACTTGTCTTCAATACTTTATTACAGTCTGATTTTGTTGTTAAACGTATCGGTGATTCTGTGCATTTAAGTAATCCTATTTCTTCTTCATTAATGTAACCTTCATCAATCAAATCATCGCCATGATCATCATCATCATCGTCTTCTCCATCGACTTCTGATTCACTTGTTATTTTTTCATCATAATCTGTACTTATCGGTGTGATTAACTCATTAGTAGATCCTCTTTTATTTGGCGGTGTAATTACTTCATGTTTTCGTGAATTACATTCACCATCAGGACTTATTACATTTTCTGGATTAACACAACAATGAATTTGAATAGGATCATTGCTTAGCGTTTTACTAAATCCACAACCCATGTGAAAATAATTGTAATTATTTATATATGTATAAATTTTTATGTTCTACTAACTAAATATTATTCGTGAAATTACTCTACTATTAATAATACTACTATTATATATTCCACAGATTTTCTCTAAAGCATATATATTTGATGTGAGATGTTAGGCGCATGTATTGATTTTTCATCTTTTGAATGGAATAGTATAATAAACAAACAGCCTTGATTTATTATTACTGAACTATGGATCACAGTTTATAAGTCTGAGAATACTTTAATTCATTTACGTCAATTTTGATAGATTCGTGGGAATCGTTTATAAAATCTGAATGGAAAAATGTTGTTTCACAAAAAACAAAAGTTATCTAGAACGAAAAAGATCGGAGTGGAAAGTAAATATCGAAAGTATTGTTTATTAGTGTGTGAAAATTGTTGAGTCACCCCAAGAGTATTAAATACCTAGGAATGCGTGTGAAAAATATGGTGGAAGATGATTGAGACTTTTTTCAAAAGACATTATTGGCCTTGTCAATGTAAAGTTGAGAGATTGACATGTAGATGTGTGTATTAATGACGAATGAATCTCTCGTGTATTCATGATGTGAACATACTTTTTCGGTGCGGTACTGTGAAACTAAAAATACTATCTGAGATGAACTGCCAGAGGTTGTTTGTTGTCCAGATTGGGGAAGATTTTAAGAAAAGACGCTATAGCCGACAAATATGAATAGAGTTTAACCATGTCGCTATCACAGGAATAGATTAATACAGATGAAACCAATGAAATATAATGAAGGAAACAAAAGAAACAATCGGGCGATCACTTCAAAGGACTCTTGAATTGATCACCATCTGCAAATCGATCGGAAATAACTTCCAGAACTGCCAGTGAACACCATCCCTCTGATAGAGGCAAAATTCTTAAAAATCCTAAAGTTTCTAAAAGCAGGAAGAGTGACAGGAACAGAAAAAGTTTCTCCAAAAGCATTGAAAGCGGATACAGAGGCCTCACTAGATATGCTCACGCCGCTACTGCTGACGTTTAGGAAGGAAAGAAAGATACTGATTGGAAGAAGAGATTCCTCTTCAAACTCCTAAAGAGAAGCAACTTAAACCTTTGCAAAATATGGCGCGGAATCATGTTTCTGCCTAATTCAAGTAAAATATTAAGCTAAATCATCCTGAAGAGACTAAAAAAATGTATTCGTACCAAACTTCACCAGTAAAAAGATGCATTCAGGGGAAGCATATTGTGCTCACACCAAATCGTAATGCCACTAACCATCAAGACTGGCTATCATATTCCCGATTGTGGTGGACTAGATCATGCAACGAGCATACGTTGAACAAAAAACAAGAAAATACTGGTAGATGTAAACTCTTTGGATGATTTATGCCCAAATTCATACGAGCTGGATGATATGCAGGCGAAAACCAACAAATTGATAGAAGAGGCTGACAGTGAAGGCAGGACAAACATCAACCACTACTAGTTGGAGACATTTAATGGAATTCATCCCCTTCACTTATCTACGCAGGCGGCACAGGTGACTATGTGAAAGTCAGGATCGGAAAAGCAAGACAGAATTTCACTACTCTGAAGTCAGTGAGGGGACCTACATCACCCAACGAAAGTAGCAAGATCTCAGTGTTCAACGCAAACATCGATTCACTGCTGCTGTATGGCTGAAAGACGGAGCGTGTGTCGACAGAAGCATTCTCAGTAGGCCACTTCAGGATTTTGTCAACAGATGTCTTGGCTCGCTGGTGAAAATGAAATGGCCAGACAGAAAGATTGGATGGAATGAAGCTGCAGACACAGACCAACTAAAAACCTGTTACTCAACCATGATATATGCAGGAGAAAATGGAAATAGATTGAACATACTCTTTTGAGACCGTCGAGCGACATCAATGGCTGTGCTTTCAGGTTGACATGGAGGAGATCGTATGAGCTGGCATTGAAAGTTGATGGGCCATCATGAGGTCAACCAAAGACGGTTGAAGAGAAGAGAGTGAAATGGGGATGTATTGCTGAAGCCCTTACTTTTGACTTCCTTATGGTAGGATCTGGGCACATACGTCAACAATTGCATTTACAACTAACTAACGCAGGGTTTCACCAACAATTGTTCTTACTCGATAGTGAAAAACAGATGGTCAGACATAGAAGATAGATGACAAGGGACATGGACAATAAACTAACCGAGGCCCTGTCACTCAGTCGGCATATATTTAGGAGGAAATGGAGTTGGATTGGACATACGTAAACCAGACACTTGACGGAAACATTCATCGACCTTTTTTTGGAACCAGAATAATACAAGATGAATTAGTTGTCAGAGAGTGACATAGAGGAAATCGTATGGGAAGGAAATGAAAGATTATGGATAATCGTGGAGCGATCTAGAGAGGATCACTGAGAATAGAGTTAAATGGGGATATGCTACTGAAGCACTATGTTCCACTCGGAGTGGAACACAATATTCTGAACTTATAGTGAAATGATCTTGCAAGGAATGCTAGTCTGAGTCATCGACCGATATTTGAGATGAGGATGGAAACTGCGTCTTCGTTGTTAGTACATAAAACATCAGCTGAAATCTAATGTCTGACTGAAACATATTCAGCTATTCAATTTAGGATTAGGTATTAAATTTATCCAGACCATGTTGTTTTTTGTTTAAGTGATGCGCTTGAGTATGATTTCCGCCTTGTGCTGTATCTTTAACTATTATTCTGAAGACTAAGATAGACTCTTATTCAGGGTATGAATGTCAAATTTCCTTCATTTACATAGCCTAACAAAATGCCAAGCCGCAAAAGAATTTGTCTTTGTTTGACAGTAGGGTAAAAAAGAGTGGTCTAAATGTAATGATAATAATCATCTTTTCTGTCATTTGAGTTCTCAAGGAGACAAAGGGCTCCTTAGCATATTCTGTCCCATCATGTCTCTTTTAGCTGACTCCACAGCTGACCACACCCTTTCATTTCCTCTTCACATAATCTCCTCCATGTGACTCTTGACTTCCTTTTTTTCCTGTTGATGGTTGTAGGTGTTTTTGTCTGTCGGTTTGATATCTTCATCGTTTTTGTCTCTTCTATGTTCACCTGCAGTCTTGATTTTGCCGCCTCTTATTCCAATTTGTTGGTTTTTGTTTGTAAATCTTTTGGTTTATGGGAAGTTAGACATAGACACTGTTGAATCTCAGTGTTGTTTGAAGTTAAAAGGTTACTGTGCAGTTCCTTATTTATTTCGAACTTCTTTTGAAAATTTCTCGAAGTCATTAACGTTTTTATTAAGGTTATTGCACTTTATAAAGTTATATTTGTTATATATATATCACAGTTCGTATGAATTATTGCACTTTAGTTTTAAGTTATATTTTTAACTACTGATGGCTGTTCAAGTAGTATGATGTTTATCAAAGTATTGGGAATGGCAGCTGCAATCTACTGCAAACAATTAAGTCAACTAGATATCAACATTTCCAGTGTATTATAACAGAATATCATATTTTCTAGTTTACATTGAGAATTTTCTGTTAGAATCTCTTAGAAAATGTGTTTGTCCATTTATAAAATTAATTTTATTTACTTTTGACTAATAGTAAGCAACCAAACCAACCAGCTCGGAGGACACTATTAATTGCAAGCGCTGTTATACTATTTAGAATTATTACAGAAATACTAAATCAGTAACAATAATAACTGATGCTGTGTCCACTACTGTTGCTGCTGCTGCTAATACTACTAGAAATACTAGAAAAGCACAACAAGTTAACTTAAGAAAACTAGTTTTCCGGGGTGTAGAAAACTTTAGAGGTCATACAATTTGTCATTACTAAAAATGACGACATTTATGACAATGATCTACGCCAGTTGATTTCATCTTTTGTTCTGCTGACAGATCTAATTAAGTAACACCTAGTGATTCGCTTTCAGTAGAGAAATGGATGAAGTGATTTCACTGATCAGTAAGTTTGTACTAAAGGTGGTTTTACTTTAAAGTTGGAGCTGTTTCGTAGTTGCAATGAATAAATGTTAGTGTGAGATCAAAACATCATCCGTTCTCTGTAGTGACAGCAAATTTGTAATGAATTTCCCATGAAGTAATATTGGATAATTTGAGGATATAACCTGGTAAAGCTTCGTAGTTCAAATATTACTGACACAGTAGAACTTAATTCATAAGAACTATATTGTTTGCTTCTATTTTTGCTTATAGTTTGTAATATGTACTCATAGTTTCGTTTGTAACGTAAAATAAGTTAATCAGAATTTTAAATTCCTTACCTTCGTATTATTTTGACATATTTACCATCCTCTTTCCGTTTCTGCTTCTTTTGTAGGCTGGACTCTTTAAACTTTGTGTATTTAATGTTGGTCAAGGTTCTTTAGAATGTTTATATTTCATACTGCGTTCAGCTGTGTTGATTGTTGGTGGAAAAGTGAAATACCTCGCTTTGGTATCTTTGTTACTGTGATGGAAACACTAAGCATGTTTGCGCGTTAGCTTTGCACCACTTGATGTCAAGTAATATTACGCTTCGTCGAAAAATGTTGGTTTTTAAATTTTTATCAACTGAATAAGGTTCCCGAAAGTAACAAATTATCCCACCGAATGCCATGTGTGTATCATTCTTCTACACGTATGTTAGGAGAATGGCTAATGAAAATTTTATACTCCGTTCTCAATGCGTTTTCAGACAAACTTTAAAATCGAAGAGAAGGTGACCGTCATCCGAAAAGCAGAAAAAAATATCCAGGCGTATGATTACCGTAAGGCCAAAACACGTGGTCTGCAACAAGTTCAAGTAGTGCACAAATGATTACATCACATCCAAAGTGTACATATAAATGAGGAGAAGTATTCGCGACTCTCTTGCTATGGTGAAGGTAGGTGCATCCGAATTCTTTGAAACACAGTCAAATTCCAAAACCTTTACAAATGCAAATGGTAGACATCTTTCTTCGTCCATAGCAGAGCATATTATTGATATGAATCATGCGATTGAAAGTAAAACATCTTTCGTGATTAATTACAAAACTGAAGAAAGACACATTAAAATGCGATAGGACGACAACATTCTATTAAACCAGGCCCTGTCTCCAGTGCATGCA